CAGCAAGTAAAGCGCATAACTCTTTTGAGACTCTTCAAAGCCCGTCCTAGGGGCCCAACCTCCCCCCCCCCCCCCACCACTTTATGTTTGGGCCGTGAGAGATATGGTGATCGGTTTTCGCCGAATGAGGGAGTGTTAAAGACATATATGGTGAACTAAAATTGCCAAACAAGGGGGCGTGCTTTGAAGTATATGGTGAACCGGAATCGCCAAATGAGGGGGTTGTTTTACATGTATCATGAACCGTTATCGCCAAATGAGGGGGCGCGTTTAACATGTATGTTGCCGTTATCGCAAATTGAGGGTGGCATGTTCAAGATATAGGATGACCCGGAATTACCAAATAAAGAGGTGCTTTAAATATTTGGTGAACCGGAACTACCAAATTTGCAGGTGAGCCCATGTGATGTGCAGGAAGCATGGCCCCTGCGCAAGAACGAAACGTCATGATCGATGGCTCAAGTGCGTGAAAGATTCCAGTGATGAGGTCTGAATTTTGGGTTGCAGGATTTGATTGATCGGATGAGCCTTGAGACCTCCGGATGGCGAGCAATTATCATTATAACCCGTTAGATGATGTTCCTTTTCAGATTCGGCGGAACCTTGGAAGTCCCGCTCCTTCACACTTTAGTGTACTTGATGCTACGCCTCCTCAACCATTGGAACATAACCAAGAGGTTATGAGCCCAAGGGCTCCCCTTGGGCAAAACGCAGGCTTTCTGCTTACCAGCAATCCCGCTGCTTATAAGCAGGCTGTCTGCTTATAAGCAATCCGGCTGCTTATAAGCAGGCTGTCTGCTTACAAGCAGGCCGGTTGCGGCCTTCTGCTTAATTATTGGCCCTGCTTCTGCTTACAAGCAATATCCTGTTGTTTACATGCACTCGGGGGCCGTATGAGTAGCTATTCTAAGCCCACCCACGCGTGCGCCAGACACCAACCAAGACGGAGAACACGAGAACCTACACCAATTGCACAAACATTACCGTAAATTTGATATCCTGACCTGTTGCATGTTTGATATGGAAGAACATGCCAAGCTTATCTAGCATACCACACGACCTGAATTTGTTATTATTTCCGGTTTCACGGTGTGTGCTAAGAGTTCAATGGACCAAGCACCATGTAAACCATAGGGATATATCAAAGGGAATCGCGAGGATGGAAGGCATCCAGATGGGCCTCGACCATAAGGAATCGTGGAGACTTATCTCTTGAACACGTGGTCATATACTGCCGCACCATGTCATAGAATAGATACCATGGTGCTAGAAAGTCCCTTCTACACGTGGACTTTGCCTTTTTATACACACAAATATTGCAGACGTGCATGTAGATACGTTATCTGACCATATTCCATCTATCTATCTGCCTATCCATGTATCTATCCACCTATCTATTTGTCTACCCATCCATCTGTACATTCATATACATACTGGTCTCAGCATGGATGATGTCACCGACCTCTTAACCTGGCAACTTAGAGATATTGTAAAACCCTGATACAATCTATGACAGGATATGTTATGGCACAGCACAAGAGACAAAACACACGCGTACAGTGTATATGTTTTCGCCGATTTGCAGAAATACCGTCTTGACACGGTCACATTAGCTGTGCGTTGTTGTGGGGCCCATTATAGCAAGTCATTGCGGCTGTATTGAGATACATATTGCAATAAACATTGAACTGAGTACTAACACGCCACAGCCTTCAACGAGTCAAGACATAGGGGAATCAGAACACGGAAAGTCGGCTCTGCCCCCGAGAGTACCGGGTGTTAAAGTTGTAGAATACGCTGGAACGATGTATGAAGTAATTACTCATGTTTAATACTTCATGTCATTTCGCTTACAAGCGCTGGCGTATCTGCCGTGCACTTCGTATTGAGGCAGTAGAGCGTACCATGGTAGTGCAAACACAGAAGCAGTGCATGCATAGGCTTGTGAGTGTATGTATCCCTCTATGACTTAACGAAGGCATGCCCGGGTTTCTGTGTGCATCGTTAGTTACAGCGCCATAAAACCAGATGTGTATAATATGTGTTCCCCTACTGGCAGCAATATATACAGTTTTGCGATAGTCATTGGGGTTGCGGATTGGTCTGAGACGCCACAGAAGCAAGTCGTACTGACATGCTGAAATACTACAGTACAGACTCAACTGCGTAGTACTTTCGCAAACAGACAGACCTTCAGCACCGAGTCAGGACATCAGGGGATCAGAACACGTCAAGTCGGCTCTGCACCTTAGACGGGTGTTAACGTGGTAGGTTAACGTGTTAAAATAAGCTGGAATGATACATGAGGCAACTACTTAAATGATTCTTTCATTTCGCTTGGAAGCAGCTGAAGCAGCTTAGTGGATTGTGGTGGTAGAGCATTCCACGGTAGTGCAAATATACAAAAACACATGTACGGGCTTTTGAGTTTATGCTTGCGTGCATGTGTATCTGTAAGAACAAACATGCCTGCGCATTCACGTATATATACATGCACATACGTACTGCAAAATGTTACACTTTTGTGAACATTAGCATGCGTAAATGCATGCGTGCATAGTAATGTTCTATATGAGACCAAGAAACACAGTACTCAAAAAACCCAGGCCCCAAGGCAGGCCGCTCTCTAGGGCTACCGGTGTTGAGTCGGGTCCGGAAGGGGGCTCTGATCTTTCTGATGCGGGTCCTGCGCCTTCTAGCGGGACCACTATAACCTTGAGATTGAGCCTGAGAGTGACGAATCCGGGGAGAGAGAGCGGCCTCCTTTGTGGTACCTGGTTCTTCATGAAACTGAGTATGCTCTGCTGTCGAACGGGCCCTTTCAACTTCTGACACATGCGATTGCTCCATTCCAGCAGGTGAACGGGCCGATTTTGATGGTGGACTTCCAGCTTCCCATTGAAGACCTCCAGATAGGGCTGAATCAGTACATCATCGAAGCGCATCAGACATTGTGTATGTATGAAGATGCGGCGCTGAGGCCTGTGGTTCTGGTTCATGTCATTGATATGGACACAAATCGTGAGCAGATGCTTGCGCTGACAGAGAGTGGAATCCCTCCTAGAATAGAGCGTTGGACCATTGAGGACGCTAGGAGGGGTATGCGACTTCAGGTGTTCTCAGGCGCTGAGGTGATGGCTTTTAGGGAAGAGAGTGCTCGAGCCAAGGGTGCCCCGAAGGCGAAGGCCCCCAACGGTGTCGAGTCCACCGGGATACCCAGGTTCCCTTCCGAAGGGACCCCCTGCTAAGGCGACCGGTTCAGTTCCGAAGGGATCTTCTGCTGAGGCGTCTGGTTCAGTTCCAAGGGGATCTTCTGCTGAGGTATCCGGTTCAGTTCCGAAGGGTCCATCTGCGAACATTCTGCATCTAGCTCCAAAGTCTCTGCCTGCGAAGGCCTCAACTTCGGGTTCTCAGGCTTCGCATAGCCGGGCTAATTTTGCTGAGGGCAAAGACAGGCCACAGGTAATGGAACGGCGATCCGATCGGTCCAAGCAGCTTAAAAGCGAGGAGGCCCATACATTGCCTATGTGGACATTCGGGTTGTTTGTTCATGGAGGGGTGTTAGGGTTGACTTCGGAAACACGTCGGCGTCCATGGTTGGTGAAGCTCCTTTGCAAACTGGTTCGGCAGCAGCATCCTGATTTGGAGTTTTTGTCAGTGACTGTGGCAGTCAACTTGGTGTTTCGACCTCACAAAGATCGCAATTCGCTGGAGCGAGAGTCAGTGGTGTTAGGGTTGACGCGCTTTCAGGGTGGACAGCTCTGGATTGAAGGAATTCCTGGGGAGCGCGGGAACAATGCAATCAGGCACATTGACAACGAAGGCGAGGTGAGGGCCGGAAGATTGCATGAGCTGTCGCACAAGAGTGTAAGGTTCAATGCAGCGGTTCGCACGCGTGGGACGGAGCCGTTCCAGGGAGTTCGAGGTGTGGCAATTGCATATACACCACGGGGACATTTGAATGTCTCAGATGAGCAGCTGAAGGAGCGATGTGGCCTAGGATTCTTTGATGAGAGGCTGCAGAAGTTCCAGAGCAAGGCCAGCAACATCAGGCACGGCAGCTGCAGGCTAGAAGCAGAGCTCAAGCATGACAGTAGCAGGCTAGAAGCGGAGACCAAGCATGACAGCAACAGGCTAGAAGCGGAGCTCAAGCATGGCAACGGCAGGCTAGAAGCAGAGAATGAGTTCAGCAACGAGCCCGAAACAAGCAACGACAACCAGATTCCCCAGAGGGTTTAGGCACGAGTAGCGTGCAAAGCCTAGATGATGATGAGGGTTCGCGTGCTGAAGGGGTCATGGCCTTTGAAGCTGTTGCGGAAGAGGTTATTAACCTTGAGACACCGCGGGAGGTCCCGGGACATTCCTTGAAGGACTACGAAGCTCGTGGTTTGCGCCGGCCGCATCGGAGGGTTACTGCTGATCAGTGCTTTCGATCGATTTGGCTGGGCCGTATGCTGCTGCTTATGACGGTACGAAGTATGCGCTTTTAGCTGTGTTTCGGATTGACGAGAGCACGCAGCTCCACTTCATGAGGCCTATGAAGAGGAGGCTTTGGGGTGAGATGTTTGCGGCTCTTCAAAGTATCTTAGCTCAGGTGTCAGCCTTGTGTGGTGAGCGGCCTTAGGTGGTCCCTGTGCATTCTGACAAGGCACGCGAGTTCTTGGCCAAGCATGTGGTCGAAGGGCTTAATGCTTTGGGGGTGTACAAAACGACTACTGCAGGGTTTGATCCGCAAGCGAACGGACTTGCCGAGAGAGTTGTGGGATTGATGAAAGAGCGAGCGCGAAGTTTCCTTATAAAGGGAAGTGTGCACAAGAAGTTCTGGCCTCTGATGATGGCTGAAGCTGCGAGACGGCAGAGGGATGCAACAATGAATCGCAGACCTCAGGGCAAGCTGCCTGATCCTGGAGACTTGGTTGCTGTGAAGCGGCAGGAAGTGGAGCCTTTTGGACCCAGGGTCGAAGCTGGTACCTTTCTATGTCAATCTGATACTGTTTTCAATGCTTGTTAACCGGGGTGGCCAAGAGCACTTGACTACGACCCGTCTGCCAGCTGCGATTGACAGGAAGACGCTTCTGGGTGATCTAATCTGGGTGAGCTCTTCAGGGCAAGTTCGGGATGGAGAGGTTGCACGAGATCATGGGGTAGATCTGGGGATGCTTACTGTGGAAGAGCGTGAACAAGGACAGCATGCGGAGCAAGGGTTGCCGTTCGTGGCGCATGTTTGTGCCGACAGCCATTTTGAGGAGGAGCCAGCGAGTACGATCCCGGCAGTTCAGGAGAAGCCTGTGAAGGGCGGTGAGAGGGGTGATCGTTACAAGATCTTGTCTTATGAAGCTGAGCAAGAGATGAATCGAGCGGAAGTCAAGGTTGCTCAGTTGGTCACGGACACGATTGATGCGAGAATCCTTTCGGACCCTCGGACGCCTGCAGATGAGAAGCTGAAGTGGGTAAATGAGGCTGAGGGGTTGAGGTCTGATGAGGCGGAGGTATGGCCGGGAGCGAAGATTCTGCCTGCAAAAGTGATGCTGACCAAGAAGCCCCTTCAGGATGATACGGAGGTTGATCCAACAGACCCTTTGAGCACTTGGAGGGCAAAAGCACGGATTGTGGTGTGCGGGAATTATGAGCAGAATACGTTTGGTCATGATCCTGACAACGCGAGCGCCAACCCGGCTATTGAGCACATCAGGTGGAGCGCAGCGTGCCTCGCTGACAATCCGGGCTGGACCGGACTGGTGCTGGATATCACGGCGGCATTTCTGAATGCAAGGATGGATAACGAAACGACTTTTGTCCGACCTCCCAAGGTCTTGATGAGAGAAGGTCTGGTGCCACCATCCAAGGTTTGGAGGCTTCGTCGCTTGTTGTACGGCTTGCGTAAGGGACCTGAGCTTTGGGAAGTTTGCAGAAATGAGGAGTTGGACGTTCAAGAATGCCGAGGGCGTGATGTTTGTGCTGGACCCGATTTCGTCTGGTGTGTGGGCCATTAGAAAACAGGTAGAACCGCAGTCGTTCTGCGGAATCTTTGACATGTACGTTGATGATGGCTTGATTGTGGGGCCAGTTGGACTGTGCACGGGTTTGGCGGAGGTGCTCTTAACAACTTGGCAAATGAAGATTCAAGGTTTCTTGCCGAGTGATGAGTTGAAGGACGGCGAGAAGGTCATGATTGGCGACAAGCAGGTGGCTGTACGAGAAGAGCTGCAGTTCCTGGGAATGGTGATTAAGCGCACCAAGGACGGTGTGGCACTTCATCTGGGTGGATACAGAGTTGGAGCGGCGGGGCTGGACGACGGTCCGAGGCGCTGCTAGTCTGCCAGAAGTGGTAGAAGGTCAAACGGAGCCGGTGCCCCGTGATGATGCGTATGGTGATGACTTGTATCGGGCGCAATCGGAGGTTGGTTCTCTTTTCTGGCTGGGCCTGAGGACGAGACCGGACCTGCTTGCAACGGTTGGGGCTTTATCCTGCATGAGTACGGTGGACCCTAAGAAGACCTACAAGCTTGTTACACAAGTCTGGAGGTACATGGCTGGAACAAGAACTACCAAGAACCAAGGTACTATTCTTCAAGGCTGGGGCTGATCCCAAGGAAGCCAAGCTGGAGATTTTTGGTGATGCATCGCTTGCTCCGCGAGCCTCGCGATCAAGGACCAGTGTAGTGGTGAAGTGCGGTGGCCATGTCATTGCACACCGCACCCAACGCCAATCTCTTCCGGCGTACTCTGCATTTGAAGCCGAGGTGGGTGAAGAGCTTTTTGGATAAGTTCCTTCAGCGAAGTGTGGATGCGGAGTTGTTTGGGGATAACTCGGCATGTGTGAGCAACCTGACAAAGGGGTCGGAGTATGTGCAGCCGACTCGCATGCGCCATTTTGGCATGCGGTGCTCATGCTTGAGGGATCATCTTCGTAATGACAATATCCCGATGCGACATATGAGCGGAGAGCTGATTCCTGCTGATGGACTGACGAAGACGTTATCGCGAGTCAAGCTGGAGAGCTCCCGAGTGAAGCTCAATGTGCTGTGAGCTTGAACCCCTGGTCCGGGATATGGGTTCAGAGTGGTATGGGCTTACACATTAATTGCAGTCCCGAGTCTAAGGAATAGTCCGGCTTTGGATGGATGCATGCTTTTGACGTGTGGGCACACCTTAAGGGACGCCCAAGCCTCGATGAACGAAGATTCTGCGAGGAGGAGTGCAGGTGAGCCCATGTGATGTGCAGGAAGCATGGCCCCTGCGCAAGAACGAAGCGCCATGATCGATGGCTCAAGTGCGTGAAAGATTCCAGTGATGAGGTCTGAATTTTGGGTTGCAGGATTTGATTGATCGGATGAGCCTTGAGACCTCCGGATGGCGAGCAATTATAACCCGTTAGATGATGTTCCTTTTCAGATTCGGCGGAACCTTGGAAGTCCCGCTCCTTCACACTTTAGTGTACTTGATGCTACGCCTCCTCAACCATTAGAACATAACCAAGAAAATCAAGGGCGTTCTTCAGATATACGGTTCAAGATGTATGAACCGGAATAACCGAATGATGGGGGCGTGTTTAACATATTTAACATATACGATGACGTCATCGCCAGCTGAGGGGAGCGTGTTCAAGATATAGGATGACCCGAAACCACCATGTTTAGATACACGGTGCCGCGTCGCCTCGTCGCAGGCGCCCCCCCCTCCATGGTATGCCCCCCCCCCCCCCCCGGCCAGGCTTCTCGTCCCAGCAAACAGTCACACGCCATCCGCGTAACCCCCCCCTTCAAAAAAGAACAAAAAACATACCTCTCCTTAGCAAACGGGGGGAGCAGGAGGGGTAACCCACAACCCATAGAACCACAAGACAGGGAATCACAGGCCCCATTCCCCTTCCCCTCCCTATCGACATACAGATGAGAATGATGGCGATGATGTTGTGCCCAATGATGTTGATGTGCTATTCCCAGTGTGGCTGTTTGTGGTACCTTTGATCTTGTGTTGCTCTGGGCTTCGGCACCGCATGCTCATTGCTTCATTTAGTGTGAAAATCGTGCTTGGCTTGTGATGTTCTTGCGAAAACTGTATCGACCGTTGTCATTCCAGGCCAAGTTGCGGTTGGGTTCGGTAAAAGTAAGCTTGAGCACGAATTTGAATGGTTTTCATTCGGGACTCTTGTGCAAGGGACCGGAGGAGAGTGCGGATGGGGATCATGACCACCATCTTGGTCATTATCATAACCAAAATATTCATCTCTGTCATTGGCTTTGGAGCTCAGGGCAGGTCGGAGTCCAGTGGAACTGTATCACATCCTAAGGTCAAAACCTTTAACAGCCGGACGCCCAACCAGCAATAGCCATGGAAGGGGGCACAGCCGCCCGCAACCACAGGGGGAGGGGAGGGGGGAACCCACGCCACAGCGAACCACAGCACAGCGGGGGATACCATGGGGTGGGGGGGGAGGGGGGGCCTAGCAGCGCTACACCATATATGGGGTACCGGAATCGCCAAATGAGGGGGCGTGTTTGAGATAATATGATGAACCGGAATCGCCGAATCGAATCAGAGGGCGTGTTTAAGATATATGATGAGCCGGAATCGCCGAATCAGGGGGCGTGTTTAAGATATATGATGAATCGGACTCGCCAAAAGAGGGAGGGTGTTTAAGATATATGATGGTCCGTTATCACCAAAAGATGGGGGTGCTTTGAGATATATGGTGAGAGGTTTGAAGGGTATCACCAAAAGATGGAGGTGCTTTAAAGATATATGGTGAAAGGCTATCGCCGAATGAGGGGCGCGTTCAACATCTGTGATGAGCCAGTATCACCAAAAGACGAGGGGGCGTGTTTAAGATATATGGTGGACGGTTATCGCCGAACGAGGGGACATGTTAAAGATATATGGTGAAGCGGAATTACCAAATAGGGGGGCGTGTCCAAGATATGTGGCAGAATCAAATCTATGGTGAACCCCAATCGCCAATTGAGGGCGCGTGCTTAAGATGCGATGAACCGCCGGTCCTCGTGCAATTGCGCTTGCAAACAGGGAGGGGGCTGCGCCCCCAACCAACCCCCCGCTTTATACTTCTTCTTGAAGTTTTCAAGTGTTCCAGATCCATCCTTGACTCATTCTGTCTGCAAACAGGGGGGTCCGCGCTTTGTCAAACTGCGCAAGCTCCGCTTCAAGCATCATCGTGTCAGCAAAAACAGAGTCCATATGAACGTGATGCATACGTACATTTGGTTTGCAAATAGGGGGGGCTGCCCCTCCGCTTTCTTTCTATGCAGTGCATGGCTTGCCGTCAAGAACATGTAACTCTTCGTCTAAAAGGAATTGCGTCAATCACATGTTTATTCTTGAAAGTTTCGGATGTTCCAGATCCATCCTACACGCGTGCAGGTTCTCTACAATCCAGGCCCAGAAAACCGGAAAAGACACCAAAAAAACAATCAGGCCCCGCCGTGTGACCCTTACGGGGATCTTACGGGTTCTAGACAATCAAGGCCCAGAAAATCACTAAAAAATTCCAAATAAAACCATAAAACTACCAAAAACAGTCCTCGACCCCTCCATGCACCCCACATCCTCACTGCTCCACACCATTCAAACTCCGCCCTATCGTCGTTGTTTGCTCACGACCGCCTCGCACGCTTGTCATCACCGTTTTATCACCACTTGTCATGTTTTGTTACCTTTTATCGTAGTGTTACGTATCGCTTTGTCCCATATGTTATCTTGTTATCATCACCCCACCCCACCTACCCCATCACCCCACCTTACGCCGTCCCGACCCCACGCCCCCCTCTACACTGTCAACCCACAACCCGACCCACTCCACCTCTCTCACCGCTCCCATCCCCCGGCCCCTACTTGTGTCAACGAAAAATGGCACACCATGTGTTCAAGCTATTCTCTGATTCCTTTGCTTGTCTTCTGCACCGAAACTGCTAATCTGCCAGGCAGCCAGGAGCAGCAATTTCTCAACTCTGCTAATCTGCCAGGCAGCCAAGAGCAGCAGCTTTCAAAATTACCTCTGTGTCTGTGACCACTAGATTTCAGTTGTGGTTTTTTCTGGATTCAGTTGTGCTTTTTTTGTGGTTGTGATTTGAAGTTTGTGCTTTTGCTGGTGCTTTGCCGTGGCTTGGCACGGTGGTTGAGCACAAAAAAAACCACAAATTTCAAATCAGAACCACAAAAAATACCACAAACTTGAAATCACAACCACAAAAAAAGCACAAACTTCAAATCACAACCACAAAAAAAGCACAACTGAATCCAGAAAACGAAAAATACCACAAACTTCAAATCACAACCACAAAAAATACCACAAACTTAAAATCACAACCACAAAAAAAGCACAACTGAATCCAGAAGAAACCACAACTGAAACCAGAAAAACGCACAACTGAATCAGGAAAATTTGGAATCTACCTGCCAAAATGCTGGGGAAAGGCCGGCGCCTTTAAAAATGATCAAGTGGCCACCAGACCCCCCACGGTCCCCAGGCCGGCCAAGGCCAGCCCCCTCTGTGGCCTCCCTGCACCCCCAGGCCGGCCCCTCTGTGGCCTCCCTGCACCTGCACCAGCTTGCAGTTTGGGTTAATTAGACTCATCCCTTCTCCCCTCAATTCATTCCCCCCAAAAAGAAGGTGCAGTGTCATTGTCTGTCGATTGTCTATGTTCGATGCGTGCGTAGAAGGGAAACGACTTATGGTGCTGAGTGAATGCTCAGTTGCAGGTTTTCAGGGGATGCAGCAGCATCCTTTCTTCTATTCTAGGCATGCTGCAGGAAGTCATGGTCTAATTTTCGAAATTTCTGATTAGCGGCATTGTCGGCATTGTGGCTTTCATATTGATTGATATCAATATCTGTGTTTATGTCCCAAAGTGGCACATTACATGACTGGAAGTCGATTAACTTATGAGTTGTAAGTTCTAAGACATTACAGCTAACTATGAGGCCTACACTGTTTCGGGCTCCGTGGTCGTAAAAAAAGAAATAACAAGAGTAGGTGAACAGAAACACCAACTGCGAAGATTGTGTGATCATGGCGTAAGGAGAAGGGGAGTGCGGGGGGCTGGTGGGACTATAATATCGATGCACAGATCACAGAACTATGAAACAAACCAGATTTTTTCTGCACCCATTTTTTCAGTGACAATTGTAAATCTAGGTTTTGCATGAACCTCTTAAAAAGAAGTTGTGTTTTTTTTGTGGGTTTCATTGTGGTCACTGTTACAGGGGCCCGGCAGTGTCCAAGCAGAACCGACTTGCCGTGTTCTGATCCCCTGATGTCCTGACTCGGTGGTGAAGGTCTGTGTGTTTGCGTGAGTACGCAGTTGAGTCTGCATTGTAGTATTTCAGGATGTCAGTACGACTTGTTTATGTGGCGTCTCAAAACAATACGCAGCCACAATGACATCGCAAGACTGTATTTCTGCCAGTTGGGGAACACATATATTAAACACAGGGCATGCCTTCGTTTATTTATACAGGGATACATACACTCACAAGCCTATGCAGGTACTGTTTATGTGCTTGCGCTACCATGGTACGCTCTACTGCCGCAATACGTAGCGCACGGCAGATACGCCGCCGCTTGTAAGCGAAATGAAAGAAAATATTAAACTTGAGCAACTATTTCATGCATCGTTCCAGCTTTTTTCTTCTGTGAGGATAGGGAGGCTTCTCAGAAGGGTACTTCTCAGTGTGTTTAACCCTATTCAACAATATTCAGAAATGTTTGAATTTCTGCTTAAATATTCGGAAATATTACGTTTTCTTCGGTAAACTTCCATAATATTCTTCATTCT